GCACCGTCGCACAACCTACATTATGTTATTCATCGCTTTCCCATCGGTATTCCCTGCCGGCGTTTTTGAATTAGAGCTGTTTTATTGGTTCTGGCCTGGGTTCCTAATCTACAGCTGTAAACGGCTAACGAGTGTGACTGACAGACAGGAGTTAGATGGATGGATGCTGCCATACAAAGCTGGCCTTGAGCTTTACGATATCTTCATCCCGTCATCACTCGGCTCAACCCATCATCCTCTCCGTGACTAGCAGCCCCGCTACTTGCCTCCTCATGCTCTTTAACTTTTCACATTCATTTGATTATTTTAAAGCAGGGGTGTCAAGGCGCGCGGGCCAAATTCGGCCCTTGACCTCATTTTATGTGGCCCGAAAGAGCTTGCAAATAATATAATATACAATACAATTGGTGTAATTGTTGATTATTTGCTTTAAATTATTTGCCCTAGACTTCTGCTTTCAGACGTAGTTATTTAAGAAGTTATTACCAGAACTGATAATAATCCAATGCAGAGGCAATAATGTAATATAATACATTATTTAATATGTTATATATTTATATATGTATATTTATATAGTCTTAAAGTTACAACCGGCCCTTTGAGTGCAATCTTAACGCTAATGTGGCCCACCATGAAATGGAGTTTGACACCCCTGTTTTAAAGGAATGTATGTTTGCAAACACTTAATAAATGGTTATGTTTTAAATGACGGATGTTGCTGTAAAGCTGTCCATTGCTGCTACATAAATATATTTCTTTAATAAATGTAACATTATCTACTTAAAACAATTATTTTTCTGCTATAATGAAGCGTAAAAAATGCGTACTGGATTAATTATTGAGAAGATTTGAGACTTGATTAATGGTATATATGCTAATTTGCTCCAGTGTTTAAATTAGAAGAAAGAATTTAAAATATTTATAAGGTAAATGCATACCGGTTTTGACCTTATAGCAAATACAAACAAAAGACAGATAATTTAAACCAGTGGGAAAACCTCGTTACAGAGGCAAGAGCGGTCGAGATACCGTCTCAGGGGTCTCAGACAAAGTGGGGTCTACTCAAAAAGAGAAGAGCGTGGGTGGAGCTGCTGAGATGAGAGCCATTCTTCACCTCATCTCTTTTACAGTCAGGGTCTGTCCCTCTGTCAGCACAACGGCACACATGGGATCTGAGGGGAGTGTTTCATGACACATTCATTGTGCAAAATCATTTCACCTCAAGGTCAACGTGGCTCTTCGCTCTTGATGTCTTCCTTTAGCTGACACAAACCACTTTGATACAGTCCCCTTTGTTTCAGGAGGGAATCAGATTTGTTACAGCTATGAGTAGGGCTGCTCGATTATGGCAAAAATCATAATCTCGATTATTTGGGTCAATAATTGATATCACGATTATTAAAAAACGATTATCCATTTACTTTGAAAACATCCATTTATTGAAAAAAGACATTTGAACAGCATGTTTTTAACAGTTGATTACCCTGAACTTTAAGTATAATTCAACTGAAAAACCAATACAAAAATTATAATAATCGTTTTATTTCGATTACGTTGTTTTCGTAATCGTTGCAAGCCAACATCGTAATTGCGATTAAAATACGAATAATTGAGCAGCCCTAGCTATGAGGCCAACATCTAAACAACTCACTGAGATAAGATGTAGGAAGAAAGCTCCACATGATGCACTTCACACCACGCCTAGACATAAGGCTGTGGTCCACAGTGAAAATGATCGAGTGGAAATGATAGTCCTGACGGAGGATGGTTGCCAAGAAATCTGTCTGTTTCCTGAGCTAAAGGACAATTTATGACCGCTTTAGACACTGGTAGAAAGGCATAAGGCAGAAAGAGCCTATAGGATGTATTAAGAGGGGAGGGCAGTACCTCCGCTGACCCGAGACTGAAGGGTGTTACGGTTGAGCATCGAAACATGTTATGAATATTGTCTGTGGACACCTGCTCCTGACTCAAGACTGCAGACACCTCAGCTGGTTACATAAGATGCACAGAACAGTGTGTCAAATATACTTCTTCCAAGGTTTCAAAGGTTTGTAATATCTTCAGCGTAGTTGCTGGTAACAGTGCAACATGCATTCCACTTAAAACATAAAGAAAATAACCAGTAAAATGGTGCAATAACAAATAGTGCAAGTGATACAGTGGTACATGGACTGTATTTATAGAGCGCTTTATCTAGTCTTCACAAGTTATTAGTCACTCATTCATACAGAGCATTGTGCCACTTTTGCTCAAGGACTTTAACATTCACACACTGTTGGCAATCGGGAGCAACTCAGGGTTAAGTAGCCTGCCCAAAGATACATCAACATGTTGACTGCAGGGGCTGGGATCAGACCCACAATCTTCCGATCTAATGGAGACCCCACTAACTCACAAGTGGTCATGGTGCAAGTAAAAATCAGCAATATGTAAATGTATAAGAAAATAAGATAAAACATGTACAATTGAACACTGTACAGTAGAATACATGCAGTTTACGGTAATGACTTAAATATTTGGATATGTGGATATGTGGCATAAGCCTACAGCAGCAGACAGTGCTATATATAAGTCCCATTTTTAGACATTCAATGTTCTTCCACCTCTCCCCCTCTGTATCCCCTGTGGAGTGCATTTACTGTGAACCGAGGTAATTCTCGCTGCCCTTTAGAGGGATGTGCAGGTTAATTCCTCATCTCTTGTGTGTTTTCACTCCTCATGTGAAAATATATGAGCGAGGTCACATTGTAATGGTGTGCAGTCTTACGGCATTATGGTACCTAGGGATTGACTATAGAGAATAGTTATGATGTGGCCCAAAACACTTAAAGTAACTGTTAGTGTTTTTAAGAAAAGTAAAGGGACGCATGCTGACCTGAGCACGCAGACTGCTGAGAGGAGTCCCAATTAGGCTATGCTTTTTGTAAACAAGAAAACTAGGGTGAGCAGCAGCATACTTTCTCCCCGTCCACCCCAAGCTGCAGAGTAACAGCCAGGGTGACAACTGCAGGCGTAATTAGTGGAAGAAATATGCATAGACCTAGTGTGTGTGTTTATCCACTCATCGTTTAAATTGCTTGAAATGTCTGGCTTTAGTTTAAAGTGCTTAGAAGCTTTAAAGGAAACTCTTAAGGCTCTCGTACAATATGTGCCAGTCACATTCATACTGTAGGCAGGTTAAAGAACTGTTGACTCAATGATTGTTTCACTTGGTTTCATTCATTTCAATTGGAGATTCAATGCTTTCCACATGAACCTCCTACTTAGCTCCGCAGTGATGGAAAATGTGACTTAAAGGGGACCTATTATGCAAAATCCTCTTCATGTCTCTTCTACATCAACATGTGTCCCCTCTGTGGAAAGAGACTCTGAAAGTTTCAGGAACAAAGATTCTCTCTCTTTTTGTCCTGATCCATTTCTATAAAAACCTGTCTGAAAATGAGCTGATCAGATTTTGGCCACTTTATGATGTCATAACGATTTTTTTTGGCTTGTGTAACCATTAGCCAATCATCAACCAAGGTAACCCCCCCCCCCCCCCCCCCCCACCTTATCACCTGAATCTCCTCCTAGAGCCCCATTGTGTTCTTTTTAACCAAATATCTTTCATACCTCATTCACACCAACGCAACTCTGGTTCAAGCTCCGTGTTAGAGCTTTTCAGGTTCAGAACCGGTTCTTCAGTTTAGCTCCGGCTCTTTTCACACCGCCCAGAGTCCGACTGGTGCTGCGTCATTGCGTCATCGTTTGCGTCATGACGTAACCGTTTGCGTGCCTGCTTCATAAAGCCAAACCGCGCGGAAACTCCTCACAGCTCACAACAACAACAACAACAACAATGGCCGATTGTGCTCCAGCTTCCTCTGTACCTCTTCGGAAGACCAGATTCCCAGTAGGTAGCTGGTCTCTTCAGTGGACCACTGCTGCTTGTTAAGTTTCTCCATCGTTGTGTACAAACTGGATAAAACGCCGGCTTTTTGTTGTTGTTCAGGAGTTGATCCCGCCCCTGCCCCCGCCCCCGCCTCGACGTATGTGGTGCTTTTGCTCTAGCCGGACAATTTTTTGGTGCTTGAAACGAACCGGATTCCGGAGCTAAGAGGCTGCTCCGCTGCGGTGTGAACAGGAAAACCCGGTGCTTTTCAAGCTCCAGCTCCGAACCGGTGTGAATGAGGTACTAGAGCACCATTGTGTTCTTTTTAACCAAATGTCTCTCAGAGGGGCGTGGGGAGGGGCTCCTTATTTTCATCTAAAGTAACAGACAGAGAATCAGCACTTTGGAAACAGGGCTGAAACAGAGGGGATTATGGGTAATGCTGCAATGACCCGTTTGGTATTTGGAGCCAAACACTTCAGAGACATGTTTTGTATATATCTGAGAGACCTATAATATATTGATGAAAAACAGTATATAGGGGACCTTTAAGTGTGAATCAGCATTGAAGTCTGGATAAAAAACGACACAAAGAAAATCGTATTTGATTCCAACACTAAATGTTAGTAGTCAGTGTAATAACACTTCTGATATTCTCCCTAAAAATTAATGTTATAACGTTGCGTAAATATATTTGTTCTGTGCTTACAGAGGTTTCCTGAATTGTAGGCACGTCTGATACAAAAGGCAAACCCTTGTTACTTTCCTGAATCGCTGACTATTAAAACTAAAGAGGACAGAAGGTCATAGGTGTCTTAATTACATTTCCCGTATAATATTTAATGATGTGTGTTATTTTTAATAAGGCTGTAAAGCAGTGATTACGTTTGATTCTTCTTATTACTGTTGGGTAACCTGTTTTTTAAGTCTCAGATTATTTGTAAAGGTTGTGCAAACCACTTGATACACAAAAATGGAGCAAAACGAAACACAATCCGTGCAGATCGTATTATTTTTATGTTAAAATAAAACTTCCCATTGAAGATACCAACACACTTTATAAAAACATAAATAACAGATTAAGAATTCTTACTGAGTTTTCTTCTCTCTGCTCTTGTTTTCCCAGAATGCCGAGGTGTCTGTGTTTGAGGTCAACATTCGTTTCATAGGAGGACTGCTGGCCGCCTACTACCTCTCTGGACAGGAAGTGAGTACTCTTCTGTGTGTTTTTATAACCTGAACAGGAGCTGGATGGAAAAAGGGATGCAGAAAAGAACCAATGAGGCTCTTCTTCCTCTTCTTCCTCTTATCATCCGTCCTCTCCTCTGTTCATGTGAAGGCAGATTTGGGCTCTTGGTTAGGAGCAAATGGAAATTAAATGTATCTCTTTTTCTGTTTTGTTTGACTGTCGATCCTGTCCTCTGCAGCTTTCATGCCCAGCCATGCAGTGCTTCCTCTGTAATGAGAGCTAATACATCAAATATGTGTTCAGTACAACACCCACATCCACTGTGAAAATGCAGTAGTCATTTTACTTAAAATACTGCTTTATTACACATTGAATTGGTAGTGACTCTGAAGCTTAGTCCATTTGCTTAACCCTTTGTGTCTCAGTTCTGGTTGCTAACAGCTGAACCGACAGTAACTTAGCAGGGGAGTGAATACAACAAATACCAGTAGCAGATGTTGGTGTTTTTTTAAGAAAACATCTAAATTATCATTTTATATTGTGGACTGCTACTTGCTTAAAAACTGGATGTTGAGGTTGAGATGTCTATTTGTATCTTGGTTGTACTCATTAATCATTACTTTAATGTATGTATTACATGTATTAATGTAACATGTCACACTAGTGCAACAGACTAGAAAATATCAGGTATTTTTCTCGTCAGTCGTGTTTTTTTCAGTCATTATTTCATTTTTCGACTTCAAAAGATGCTCTGGATCTATTTTTGACAGTTGCATAGCTATTCAGGTATTTCCTCAGAAAAGAGCACTAACTGAAGATGAATCATCTATTTAAAGTTGATGGTTGACAGTCTCCTTTATGTTTAGAATAGCTTTTCTTGTTGATGTTTTTTATGAAAGAAGCAATAACAATTGAATACCAAAGCAGATAACTTGGTATATATATTTCCGGTGGTAAAAGCAATACAAAACAGTGAAGCTGATCTTATGGCCTACAAGTTTTACACTTTAAAAACACATTCAACTTTGCCCGGGCGCACTGAGTGATCCAAAGGGCGTAGTTTTGCTTTTTGAAAGTGACTAACAGAGATTTGAAATCACTGAATAACAACATAAGCTACAAGCAAAACTTAAAGTCGCTTACTATTCCCCACTCTTGCCCTCCAATTCCCTCGCTCGATGCATCCTCCTCCTCCTCCTCCTCCTCTTTCGCCCCCAAAAATCAAACTCAGTCATTCATCAGCGCTCAGTGGAGGGATAATAGAAGCAGTGGGTGGTGGGGAAGGAGGGTGATGGAGCATGGGAGGGCTGAGAGGAGAGACGGTGATGGAGGGAGGGTGGAGGAACGGAGGGTGTGTGAAGGTGATGCTCACAGATAAAGAGATGGGAGGAGAGAAGGAGGGTGATGAATGGCCGAGTGGACAGAAAGCGAGTGAGGCTCATTCTTCGCTGCCGTTGGACATGTCCTTGAGCAAGGCACTTAACCCCTCAGCTGCTACAGTCAACCAGCAGCAGAATACATTGTGATACTGGGCAGCGCCAAGGGGACATTTGGGTTTAACTGCATTAAAAAATAAGCTAACTCCCTGCAGAAATACAGTGGTGTTAGGGATGGAGCTATGTTTTGAAGTGAGGAAGGGGACGAGTGAGAAGGAGAAGGGAGGAAGCATGAAAAACAAGAGAAGGAGCTGAGCTGAATTCAAGGTTCAAGGCTTTTATTAGTCATACGAACCTAGCTACAGTGTAGTCATGACGATGAAAATCTTAGGTCACAGGCTCCTCCAACAGTGCAACACAATAAAACAGAAAAACAGTAAATGTAAAAATAGTGAAATAGTGCAATAAGAGTCTATATACTATAATATATACATATATATATAATTAAGACATTGGTGGCTTAAAAGGGTTTAAAGATGAGACGGACATCAAGAAAAGGAAGTACAAAGAGAAGAGGGACAGAGGTTAAGACGGAAGATTGAAAACACAAACCCAGAATGAAACTGGTGTTAAGATACTGTAACTGGGACTGAGTAAAAGAACAGAAAAGGCTGGCCTACTTTATATTTGTGTAACTTGTTCTATTACCTTGAACAAAGCTACTGCTGATAATTAAGCGTGAGTTCTATAATCAGAGAACTGCCAGGGTAACGCACCACAGCTCTCAGATCTTTCAAAAGCGTCACTTCATTGCGTGACGTGCCTTACCCTTTCGTTTCCCCCCAACTTCTTTCCTCAGTTGTCTTCAGCACATGTTGTTTCTCCTGTTCTCTCCCAGTTTCTGCATTACGTTTCCATCCTACTTTCTAAAACCTTTCCCCTTACCTCCTGCTTTCATCTGTTTCCCTTGCACTCCCTCTCCACTTTTCTTTTTCTTCTCTCACATCCTTTACTTCTTTACCTCCTTTAATCTTTGAAACAGTAATGGCTCTTGTCCTCGCTTGCTACTCTTGTTTGGAGCCTCTCCTCTCATCTCACATCTGATCCCCATGTTTCCTTAAGAGCTATATCGATGTTCCTTCTCTTCACTTTCTTCACTAACACACATTTCCCCCTCTAAAGACAACTGGCCATTTAGGGTGACGTATGATTTTGTTAATCAGGAAATGATGTGGAGATGCATTATACAAGCGTTGAATTAGATCTCATTGTTCATTTGGTAGACAAATACTGCTGCATGTTTATGACAAACCTTAATGGTTTGTGGAAATGATTGCGAGTGTCACTCCCAGTCCTCTTTCCCTGTGTTAATGTCAAACTTGCAAAACATGTTTTAAATGTTGCCCCTTTTGAAGGTCTCTCTGGATAATGTTACTTTAAATTAAGAGTTGAAGTATTATTGGGGCAATAATCCCACTTTTGTTTAGGGTTGCTAGTAAGTGCTTTACAAACATGAATTACTGTAAGTAATTGGAGTCCTTCTTCCACCAGTGCAAATAAGTGTACAGATAAGTGTAACAGCTGTGTCATAGGGTTTCTAAGGATAACACTCACAGGGTGGAAAACAATTATCCATTTAAATCCAAAAACAGTGATATTATGGGCTGTTATTATCTATAAACTATATTTCAGCACAAATTCAATGTGCTTTAAAAACATTATTTATTTGAGCCAGCTCTCTATTTACTTTTAAAGCAGCAGGAAGTAGAGCTCGAGGATAAGGTGCCAGATGCATCCAAGTCATCAGCTTATTTTACTGGCAGCTAGCAAGACAAACAACTATTTGGATCAAGTACAAATGTTTTGTCTGCATTCTCTCCGGGTAGCTATTTAAGTGTGTGTGCTCTTCTTTCTTTCTGAGTGTGTTCTGCCAGTACCTGCAGCTCATTACTGTGTTCACCTTCTATTTTGTACTTACAGAAACGTAGCAGCTTTATTCACAGTATATCCACGTTTGGTCGGTGTTTCTCTCTCACCCAGAAACACATTATTCTATGGTTGTCACAACAAATGTGATGGTGAAGCTCAGGGGAATGTATGCTGTAGGTATGCTGACCAACAGTGTCAATTAGGTAGATTATTATAGTGTATATATAGTACTGCAGATATGTCACTCTGCTGTGGGAGAAACACTGGTACGACTCTCCCTCTGAGACCTGCGACTATGAAACTACCTCTGCAGTATTTTAGGAAATGTGCTTCCTTACTGTCCTACAGTCGTGTCGAAATATATTACATAAAGGAAGTCCGTAATGAACGTGTTTAGCCTAGCTTAGCACAAACAAACCTTTGAGTTTGACCACATTACAACATACCTGTGAGTTGTTATATTTGACATGTTTGCTATCATAGCTTTAGCTTGCACATATAAGCACGTCCAGATTTTCCCAGATGAGGCAGTGTAGCAAAAGGATGCTCAGTTTTTTGGCTCAGCATGCAGGAAAATCATCAACACGCTGTCATAAACTGGAGTATCATTATTTTTCAGATGACCTATGCCTATTAGCTTCCATCCGTGCTTAGGTATGTGCTTTTGTCGCACGTTAATGGGTTGTTATATAAGCGCTTTTAATGAGGCCTATGTGTTTTTTCAACACAGTCACAAAATGAATCTATTGATTCGTGTTCACCAACACGATTTCGCCATTTTTTCCGTGTCACACAGAACGATTTTAAAAGCAATAACAAATTAGAAGGAAAAACAGATAAATAAAAATACAGATTTCAGTATTCTGATGCTCTGAGCCCCATTTCTTTTCCTCGCAGACGGCAAAAGAACTCCGATATTAAACAATTTAAAATAAAAGGATAGGGTTAGGCCTAGGGTAAGATTAACAACATGTTTTTATGAACCACATAGCTTCCGGTATTCCAAGACCCGACTGGACAAAAAGACGTGGTGCAGGCACGAAACATACTACCAATACATTGCTTTTCAAATCGTTCTGTGTGACACGAAAGAAATGCAAAAATCGCGTTGGTGAACACGAATCAATAGATTAAATAAATGTCGTGACTGTAACACGAAATGCCGTGAGACTGGATTGGCTTTTTATATGTGCTGCAATCATGCTTCAAACCACAGAAGGCAAGCAAAGGCAACACAAACATGAGCAATGTTTGTGTTGCCTTTGCTTGCCTTCTGTGGTTTTGTTCATGTGTTTCTGTCTGTCCCTTTGCTCTTGTGTGTTGTCTCTTAAAGGGGCCATTATGCTTTTTAGGGTTTTCCCTTCCTTGTAGTGTGTTATATGTTTTGTGTGCATGTAAAAAGGGTCTACAAAGGCTAAAATCTCTAAATGACCTCCAGACGGAGTTTCTCGCCAACACACTACCTCCTTGAGAAATATATGTTTTTCTTATGACACTGAACCAGCGTTGAACATTGTGTATTTGAATGATTCACTAAATGTTTTACAGCTGACCTGTAAGAAACTCCTACAGAGAGAGCAGCTTCACTGTTCCTATCAGGGCTTATTTGTAATGCTAAATTACAATATTTAGTGTGCCTTGGATTCATACCTCTTCCCCCATGTGGCCCATAGTTTGCACACCCCTTGTTTAAAGTTTTCTTTTCCTGGTTAC